AACGAGTTATTAATTATTAAAAATCGCTATCTTAGGCCGGCCCACTGCCCAATTCAAACGTGCGGCGAGATCGATCGATCGTTACAACTCTCTGCGCGCCTAGTAACGATCGATCGATCTTGCTGCACGTTTGAATTGGGCAGTGGGCCGGCCTAAGACAGCGATTTTTAATAATTAATAACTCGTTAACTATTGCAAAACCTGCAAAGTGGTAGAGGACTTTTCGACTTACAATTAGTCTAGTCCACTCTATCCCACAATAAGCGTTGATGCGGGTATTACATGACACCCTGTATAAACTGGAACGAATTTATCGATATCCACCATAATACTTACGAAGAGATATACATCTATATGAATTTAATTAATTTATAATAGGATTGTTATACAAAGCACCTGAATTATTACGCCTCGCTCATTTTGAGAAGTCAACTGTTCAGGATTTTCAAAAGGGTGACGTGTATTCGTTCGGCATCGTATTGTACGAAATGCAAGGGCGACAAGGACCCTTCGGGGTCCTTGGGATGGAACTTTCAGCAATAGAAATATTAAGGAAAGTAATCACAAGAGATTCTGGAAGAGCACCGTTTAGGTCAGTACACGAAATTAATTGCCTCTTTTGGCCCGATTCCGGAGGCGACGTCCCCTGTTCTCCCCCACCCCCACCCCCCCTACGACGTCCAAACCAGTGATGCCGTTTGAGAACGGTGGTGGGGATAGAGTGGGGATGGCTCCCGTTCGCATACATGTTACGTGCTGTATATGTGTGCGCGCATATCTTGTGTGCGGCACGGGAGCCATCCCCACTCTATCCCCACCACCGCTGTCGCGATGTGGGAGACGTTCCCATTGTTCCCAAACGGCATCACTGGGCCGAGCTGCCGATCGATATTGAGGTCAGTGGGACATCGCCTCCGGAATCAGGCCGAAAAGGGCAACTAATTCCGAGCACTGAATTAAAGAATTTAGAAAAATTTCCTTTTTTCCACGAAATAATGATAGACCACCGTTGGATCAACTGGAAAATACGTTCGATTTCGTTCGTAATTGTTTACTGGATTGTTGGGCAGAGGAAGCTGAGTTACGGCCTGATTTTCGGGCGATAAGACAAAAGTTAAAGCCGCTTCAAAAGGGAATGTAAGCTCATTTCGCAATAATATACAGGGTGTTTTATATTAGTCGCAAATATTTCGAAAAATATGATAGATACGAAAAACCTTTTCCGACAAAAGTTGTTTGGTTTGAAGGGGGACATAAGATAGTATAATTAGTTTGACCTTAAGTAAATGTGCCAAGATCATATACAGTTCAATTTTGTTTTTTAAATAGAACCCCCTATTGTTCATTGCACATTCTTATCACTTACTTCGAGAGCTTTTCAAAACATCTTAATTAAGTATTTTTTCACGAAGTACTTTTTGAGTTACGAGGCTTGAAAGTTAGTTCCGCCGACATTACTATAACTAAAAGTGTACCATGTAGAGGTTGCACGGCCAAATTTATATTTCTGTACTGTGTGCATAAATAAAGTGTAAATGAATGCTTGTAACAGAAGTAACTCAACCAGTACTCCATGAAAAAATATTTAATCAATATTATGAAAAATTCTCGAGACAAGCTATGATATTATGCAATAAAAAATACTGGATTCTATTTTAAAAAATCAAAGTTGAACTCCATATGACTTTGGCACGTTCACTCAATGTTAAACCAATGACACTATTTTATGTCTTCCTTCGAATCAAACAACTTTTAAACAATTAATGAATTTATAAGGCTCTGATGTGAAATCACAGATTCGAAGGAATAAAGGAATAAGGGACAAGACAGGATGTTAAATGTCTAAATAATTAAAATTTTTAAATTTATTGCGCTAAATATTTTAAACAGCAAACAACTTTGTCTGAAACGTTTTTTCATATCTTTCATATTTTTCGCGATGAACGATGTCTGAGGTGATTAAGATAAAACACCTTGTAGAAAATAATATATTTTTATTTCGTAATAAACACATGTGTTATGTTTTCCTTACAGGAAAGTGAATATCTTTGACAACATGATGGCGATGATGGAAAAATATGCAAATAATCTGGAAGCACTCGTTGATGAACGGACGGACCAGTTGACTGAAGAAAAAAAGAAAACGGGTTGGCTAACTAAAAAAAACAAAATTAAACTTTATTATTATTGTTGTTACTTCAGATAATTATATTTGTATTGTCTTTCAGATGCCTTACTATATGAAATGTTACCGCGATACGTGGCCGAAGAATTGAAAAAGGGGAAAAAAGTAGAGGCTGAAAATTTTGACTGTGTTACCATTTATTTTAGTGACATAGTTGGTTTCACGTCTATGTCTGCGGAAAGCACACCGTTGCAAGTGAGAAGTTTAATATAATAAACATATTAGCAGGAGTAGGAAAGTTACTTACTTTTTAAAACTAACTAGTTACCGTGACTTGTACCGAGTAAAAAATGTAACTCGTTACCGTTATAGTTACTAATTTTCAAAAGTAACTCGTTATCGTTACCATTACTTAAAAAATAACGATTTGTTACTTTTATCGTTATTTTTTTAATTCCGAAACAAGATCAGACAAACTATAACATCTACTTCTGTAATTGTTTTTTCTAACAAAGTTATTAATAAAACAATTTTTTATTTTAAAGCTGTAAAACCATAAAATATTTAAGAAGGTAAATTTTTAAGTGCCCAAAATGTAAATAAAAAATTTGGATTTCTATGAAAAGTAAATATAGCTAAAGTTTTCTTATTGCACTCAAGTTTTCGTTGGAATTTTTAACGCGCAATAATTTTAAATTTATCTTAAATACAACAACCCATGATAACAATAGATTATGAATATCGATGGATGCCTGAAGATTAAATGTAAGAAAATATAGTTATATGTATATTATAACTATGTTCAAAATATAAAAAGTAACGATAAAAGTAACTGGTAAGTTTGTTACAGCTAGTAAAAGAAATTAACTACGTTACCGTTACAGTTACAAAAAAAAGTAACGTCGTTACTAGTTAGTTACCAAAAAAAGTAACTTGTAACGGTAACGGCGTTAGTTCCATACCCTGCAGTTACTTCCATACCCTGCATATTAGTAATTACTGCTGTAACCTCGATTTATTTTTCCTGCTGAAAATAACTACAATATAGCTACACGTCGCTTTATTTCAGGTAGTCGACTTTTTAAATGATCTCTACACATGCTTTGATTCGACGATAGAAAACTATGACGTGTATAAGGTAGAGACCATTGGAGACGCTTATATGGTGGTGAGTGTTATCAAAATTGTTCATTCAAACGCTATTTTATAAACTAAATTGAGGGTAAATTGCAAAATTGCAAATTCCATAAATAAAAATTGATTCCAATTTTGTTTTTTTTTTAGGTCAGTGGTCTACCAATAAAGAACGGTATTCAGCATGCTGGTGAAATAGCGAGCATGTCATTGTGTCTTCTGGACGCCATTAAGCAATTTACCATTCGTCACAGGCCGCTTGATAAACTGCAACTCCGCATAGGAATACATTCCGGTATAATTTAAAGGAAAACCACCTTCTAATAATAAAATAATCAGAGAAAATAAATAATGACAATCTAATCTTTTGATAGGTCCAGTTTGCGCTGGCGTAGTTGGATTAAAAATGCCACGATATTGCTTATTTGGCGATACTGTAAATACCGCCTCTCGTATGGAGTCCTCAGGGTTACGTGAGTATCATTCAAAATTATTTTTCACAATAAAATCAAGTATATTAAACAAAGTGTTAAGCGAACGTATGTAAATACACATATCACGTACAAATATAATAGATCACGAGTAACACTCCCTGGTAGAAATTGCCCTGCCGGCGCCACGACACTTGTCAGCGCCATGCAAGTTTGCCACGCCAGCGCCTTATCCTAAAAAACTGGAAAGGGCCATGTTAGTGCAATGTCCGCGCCATGTCCGCGCCTAATAATAAATAGCATGACATTCCCGACTAGAAATAAAGTCATGCATGCCTTATGTATGGTCAGGGCCCGATAGGGAGGAAGTAAGGAATGCCCTATCCCTGATAATATCAAAATAAATCATAAGTTTCGTTATGAAATTCAATGAAATACTGTGAAATTAGATGAAAGTTAATTAATATTACTAAAAATTAGAGAAAAAAATTTTGAAATGTTGTATATTATGAAATTTGCAGAATTTCGCTGAAAATAAATTTTTTAATGAAAAATTGCTGAACTGATAATGAAATTGGGTCAATTGCAAGAGATTTTCAACCAAATTTCAGCAAATTTTATTATGTTTTTAGCAAAATTTTTCCATCAGGGCTAATAAGAAATCCCTGACATGTGTCTGATTCCCTCCTGAATAGGATAGCACTAGTACCACATACTGCCGCGACGTGGCGACCGCACGTCTTTCTCGTAAGTAAAAATCGTCCCGTATTAGTATAAAGGGCGAGCCGATATGATGCGAGAGCGAGTTGTCTGGATCATGGATAAACCTCGATAACCTGATATACTTACATTTACGGTCAGGGCCCTGTCAGGGCTGCCTAATGAGTGCCTGACTAGGCATTAAGGCATCTTTATTAGGACCCTATCAGAACCCTACTAAAATTTCTGCTCGGGACGCTCTCGGCAACGCTTGCTGCGAACGTTTATCGCCATTTAGCATTTCTTTAGACGATTTAATTAACTATTTTTTATATATAGCTGTTTTACCCCTGTACCAACCAGCCCCGAATCGCGGCCCCCGATCTACCCTATGTGCCACGTTAAAAACTCGTTAGTGCTCGCTAGTCCCACGTCTGCATTATAATAATACTTACTAGCGCCATGTTAGCGCCATGCCAGCACCACATCAAATCAACTTCGAAGTGTGGCGCAAGTGGGGCAAAACGTGACGATTTCGTACATGGCGCTTACCAGCGGTGTCATTCCAGCGCCTGAAATGGCATGTGGCACGCTGGTCAGGGCCATGCAAGCGCCCGATCAAAATTTCTACCAGGGCTACAATATTTTCACTAGATTTTCTTGCGTTTTTGCAGCGCTAAAAATTCACTGCAGCAGTGAATCAAAACAGCTGCTGGACCAGCTGGGAGGATTCGAACTCGTCGAGCGCGGAGTAACTTCCATGAAAGGCAAAGGCAAGCATATGACATACTGGTTAATTGGAGAGGATCCGATATTACGCAGTAAGCGTAGTAAAGGAAAAATAAGCACGCAGAGCGATAGCAAGAAAACCAGCATGGCAGATCCTCTGGTTCCGCGAAGTTCTCTGAAAAACAAATCCCTCGTCAGATCAACTTTTATGAGGTGTTCCAGTGAGTCTCCGAAACGCTTGCGATTTGCCAGCTCAGATCAGCTGGATCAAAAGGGTTCCAGGATAAGTCAACTGCAATTGATAGTCGACAACAGTTCGTGTAAGACGAAAATTCCATGCGTATTACGATCATCCTGCACGGGGAGTTGGTGGCGAGAATTGTCTTCTAGTAGCTCGTGTCCATGTGTCGAGAAGCTCTACAATCAGGAGATTCAATCAGAACTAGAAGAAATAGAAGACAAATTGCCGGATATCAAAAATGTGCCGCTGCTTCGAAGTAACTTGATCTTCGGAAACGAGTCGTATCTTCTACACCCTAGAGCCAAGAGCATCCGTTTCGGCATATCTGGGATACGCCAGATTATCTCCAAATCAGCACCCAGCAGCCCCAAGCACAGTACGGTGATGCTGACAGGCCAGAAAAGAATAGCACATTCGAATGAAGAAATTGATCGATGGGATACGATGACGCCATTGATCTACTGTCCGAGTGGTCGCTTGGACTCAAAGATTTAAGATTGACATTGGTATTGATTAAACAATATTAAATACAGTTGTACAATTTATGAACAATTCAATATCACGGCTCATTGACGAGCAAGAAGGATGTAAGATATAATAACTAAAATTTCTTTATATATTATACATTTCAATTGAATACAAAAGGTAATACAAAGATTGTATGCGTTTTAACACAACAGTGTCTTCTTCAGCAAGTTACCTCGGACAAAGAAAGAAATAAAAATATATCTTAAGTTAGAACGCAAAATTAACGGTTATAATAAAAATATGTAGTGTTCCGCATTTAACGCACCGCTAATAATGTGATTGATGTCCACATCGATGAGTTCATGTCCTATTTTTTTCTTTTTCTAGTCCATCTTATTAAATGTGTGCATAGATTTCATTCTATAGCGTGATAGATAAGGTAGATAGAAATGCGCAGTAAATTTCTTTAAAATGAGTCTGTTCCAGGTGGTGTGAAAGTTTTAGTGAACATGATGCACATCGATGTGGAAGATTAAGTTAATATTGTTAAAAGTTTTTTCATCTTGAGTCTACAGCGGTTCAAAAAAGAATCTTTTAGATTGTACACTCAAGACGAGAAAACTTTTGACAATATTGACTTAATCTTCCATTTTGATGTATACATCATGTTCACTAAAACTTTTACACCACCCGAAAGAAACTTATTTTAAAGAAATTTACTGTGCATTTCTATCTACACTATCTATCGCAGTATGGAAAATCTATTCACACCTTACTTTAATGGGATAGACAGGAAAAAGGAAAAATGGGACATGAACTCATTGATGTGGACATTAATCACAGTATTAGCGGTGCATTAAATACAAAACACTACATATTTTTATTATAACCGTTAATTTTACGTTCTATAACTTAAGATTTATTTTTATTTATTTCTTTTTACAATGTAACTTACGGAAGAAAACACTGTAGTGTCGAAACGCGTACAATCTATGTATAAGTTTTTGTATTTAATCGAAATGGATAATATAAAGCAATTTTAGTTATTATGTCTTACAATTAAAAAGCAGCTTAGTGACGCCGGTCAAGAAATGAAGAATTTTAATAAATATGGAAACGACTTTACTTGCAATTCTTTATTAAAATAAAATACAACGTTTCGGTTATTCTGTTTTCTAACGTTGACAACTAGACACATTGTACGAAATTAAAATCTGGCGTATTTACATATAATACTAATTGACTTCTAACTTGATTTAATAATAACAAAATTGACTTCTAACTTAATTTTCACATCTCTAATCTAACGAATTTTACATTTGTAGGCACTCTTGTAAGTTTGTTACCTGAAGAGGACCAGTATTACTGACCGAAACGTTGTGTTTTATTTTAATATAAAGAATTGTCAGTAAGGTCGTTTTCACACTTATTAAAATTCTTATTATATCTGACATCCTTTTTGCTCGTTAATTACATAGGTCGTGATACCGAATAATTATTAGTACTAGTAGTTGTGTTTTAAAAATGTATAAACATTAATCAATGTTAATTACATAGATGTGTGTGTGCGCGCGCGCACCAGAATGTCTATACTAACTTGATAATTAAATCTTTCAGGACAGGGCTTTTTCCGAAATAAGAGGTCTCGTCCCTATAGGGACCAGCCCTGATCAGGTTAAAAATTCCGCAAACAACATAATATTATAATTACGCCATATTCTAATTCATAATCTGTCAATTGTAATTTTGTGCCAACCAACACACATTTTAATGAGATTTCTCACTTACGATATACATATCATGTACCAAAGAGCACTGCACGTACAAACTTTACACACAGATATCAGTGCAATTTACAGTTAAAACAGAGAGATAATAATGTGTCTGTAGGTTTCCATGTTGTTATTGCATATATATTCCAACAATACATTTCTTGCGGTAGCATAGAATGGCACAAAAAGGCTCGTGTTTCTTAAGTAAATGTCTAGTCAATACTATTTTAAATGTATAACGTTTGTCTCTGAGCACTTTCGTGGAACTATCAAATATATTTCTTTATATGCGTATACATGTAAAAGAAGATTAATTCTTGTAACATTATGTGAGAAGATCTCAATAAACACATAATATTACAATACGTTTATTTATTAAACGTTTATTTAAAAGTAGTATAGACGCTTTATCGACGCTTTACAATTCAAATGCAGATTTGATATTTTTATTTTTATTGCTCTCTCTCTCTCTCTCTCTCTCTCTCTCTCTCTCTCTCTCTCTCTCTCTCTCTCTCTCTCTCTCTCTCTCTCTCTCTTCATCTTAAAATAATTTTTTATTAGCTTCGTACAACAAATATACAGGAAATGGAGAAAATATGTACCTTATTCAATTTCGCACACGCGAAATCCGCCATCACTGTGTATACTTTAAAATACGTGGCTCTTAGTTTGTGCAGACGTCATACGTAAGTGCAATGGCTTGAGACGTAACCCGGCCCACGCAAATGATGCATGATAGAGCGACGGCGATAACACAGAGAGATCCATTACATTATTATTATTGAGGAAATTAATTAAACCCGATTTGCGCGAGTCGGCGCGATATTGTACATATATCATGCATACTTTTATGTTTCTATTCCCCTTTTATCGTCTGCCTGCACAACTGGCCATCAGTAGACGTTTTTTTTTTAAATAAGCGAACAGAAGTTGACGCGACAGACGTGTCGAATAAAGCCACACTCGTATGAAAAGCGACAACAGCCGTGCGAAAAAAGAACGGACAAAAGAAAAGGACGAATTATTCGTGTGATTTCAGATTATTTGTCTCGTTGTCAGTAAACTTTTTCTACGTTGCCGATAAATGCGCAACGACTACTTCGTTTTCAATTAACCGTCCTGCTGCGTCATTTACACAAACGTATATCGAAGCATCATTTTCCAGGGGCCATGCGCTTTAGTTGCATTACATGTTGATGTCTGACCACTTTAACAGCGACTCCTGAAAAAGAAAACAAACGTATGTAAACAAATGACTAATCAATTAATAACAAACGTATTATTGTCATGATATATCTTTTTATAATCCACATGAAGATGCATTTCGTTAAAATTACGTCCTCTGAGTTTCAGTTGAAGCGATATAGCGCATAATCCACTTGCTTGTGTATCGTAAACATAATATAAATTAAATCGCGCTTTTATCGATTCATCCAACCGAGTTGGGTGAGGATAAGTCTTTATACGATTCGATGGTACTGACCCGCTTCATGGTAATGCATAGCACAAATTTGTGAATTCAATCACGGAATGCCGAAAATATTGACTTCAGTTTGCACGGCTCATTACGTCCAGGGAACGCCGCGTGACGACAAAACCGGTGACGTTATGTCCCGTCTTTGTCTACGCGCGAACGAGCCGTGCAAATACAAAACTGACTCCGAAATTTATTGCACGAATTACCGCCGAGCGCGTTCGCGAACGCAACAAGTGAACTTGACCTAAAACTAGACTTGAAACGATCGATAACAGAGAGCCGCGTTAAAGCTGAACGCATGGTTAACAGGTGGTTTTAATACATTGCAGTCTATCTAACAATTAATATAATTTGATTAAAGAGACAATAGAATAATTTGCACACTTATTGTTAGATATCAGTGATTAAAGAACCGAAATTGACACGAACAGAATAATTATAAAAGCAGAACAGAATACAAACAATAATAACGACAGTGTCTAAAAGATCGATAACAATTTGGACGCGCAGTGCAGTGCAAG